AAAAATTTAATACAAGGCTCCTGATATATTGTTACAATATCAGTTGAAAAATATTAAAAATATATAGGCACAGTTTTTTTTTATAAGCATTTAAATATCGAATTTTGACAGAATTTTTCAAAATCTCGAAAATTATTAATCATCGTAATTAATAAATTCTAAAATGTTCAGTTTTTATAGCTAAGGATTGAAAATTTAAAACAAGATTCTACGTAAGTAGTTAATTCTCTTACCGAAAAATCTAAAAAATATACAATCACAGTTTATTTTTATAGTCATTTTATGTTCAAATTTGGACGAAATTACATGTTAAAAAACCTAGTTATTTTGTTGTGATTATATAATATTATTCGTGGGTACCTACTTGAAACTTCTAAAGTGTACTATTATATATCAATGATAGTATCAGGGTTTGTAATTGATCTTGATGTATAACGTGTTATAAGTACCTAATGGATATTGTGATAATGTGATATGATTAATTTGGAATTTATTATAGGTCAATTTTTTTTTTAATACCATAGATATGTATATAATTTGTCTTAAACCTAGACTGACATACCGTCTTCGCTCAGAATCGTTTTTCTTATACAATGATATTGTATCATTGAATTCAAATTTAATACCATCCATTATACAGTGACCCACTTGTAACCTACAGTACAGCAGAGCGACATCCACTTACCCACCTTTTTTTATTTTTAAAACTGTTTTATTAAGAGTTGTACAAAGGATGTTATAGCTTCTCTAGTCACAATTAAATTATGAAGTACACAAATCGCCTGAGTTATTTTAGTAGCTTTTTCAGGTCTGATTAGCATTTTATTTTCTAATACGTTAAACCTTTTTACCATAATTCCAAATGCACATTCGACTATTCTTCTCGAACGGGATGGTCGATAGTTTGTTGTATATACCACAAACGTTTTTCGTTTGTTAAATTTCTACGAGGGAAACGTATCATCAAATTAGGTAAAAGTGGGTAAGAGCCAACAAACACAAAAGGGAAATCTTCATTAATATATTGATCAATTTTTTTTGGTTGCTGGCCCATCTAATTTATTTGGAATTAATTGTTTACCAAATAAGGATTCCTTGAAAACTCCACTATCACTAGACCGACCATAATCTCTAACATCTATTACAATAAACTTAGCGTGAGCATCAACTGCTGCTTGCAGTAGAAACTAGAAAGTAGTAAGTAGACTGTAGAGTGTAGACATTAAGGGGCTCGGCCGCCGGGTGACCATATTCCCCGTTAGTTATCATTAGTATCGACTAGTGCGCTACCTATATTTCCTTTCAATCGCGAATCACTTCCTGATTTATATCCATCTGAACATCTGGTTGCTGCAGATTTTTTTTCAAATATTTTTATTCAATGTACACATACGTGATTTTTTTAAACTATTATTTCTATTCTTATTACTCTTCAAATTTACTCAGAATCTCTTTAATTTTAATAAATTATTCTGGAAGATATTAAAATATTGTTATTAGTTTAATTACTAATTTTAATTATAGTTGATTCTTTTAGAGTTCGTTCTTCGTCGTCCAACGTGTGTTATAGTTGTACGTCAGTGTTAACTAAAGTGGCTTATTTACACTGAAGGTCCCAGGGGTCTGAATCCCCACCCTCCATACTTGGCCTATGATTATATTAAATTAATTTTATTTATGGGATGATAAAAAATGGATGTAAATGTAACCAACAGCTTTATATCGCAAAATTATGTAGATCAACCTCGAAAAAATCCTTAATACGCCTATGGTTCGCGGGTGCAGTAATTCACACGTTATTATAATACGAGTATGTATTAAAATTTAATTTTCATTGTCGTTCGCCATTGGAGTGAAACATTTATATCGTTAGTTATTTCATTACATCGTACATGTTAATAGAAATTGGTAATATATTAATTTTTATACATTTTACTGTATTGGTGCACCCATCACAATTTGAAATTTTTTATAATACACCTATATTTATAACACATTTATTACTTATTTGGCGCGAATCGTGTTACGAGCCTATTCCGAGAAAATTAGACACTTTAATGTCGGCCATTCACACGACCACACACAATGTGATTTTTTATAATTTAGGTACGTGAATACAAAATAAAAATATTATTATTAATTAATTTTCACTAGAATACTTACTACGTTTTTCTTGGTCAATGATTTTTTTAATTTTTGTATAATATCCATTCACATAATCTAAAATAAAAAAGTGTACTGCATTATGTGTTTACATTGAATACTGAAACTATATTAAACATCAATTATTTTATTAGGATTTGTACATAATACTAAATCTTACATTTAATTGTATTATGTATTTGTATTTTTGTGTATTTATGTAAACAATAAATAGTGTATTAAATAAGGTGAAATGAATTTGATAATTAATTGATTATACAAAAAACTACATAATTTAGGGTTTTTAATATAGTTGAAAATATTGAGTGATTTTTAAATTGAAAATTAATATTTGACAAAAGCGTTGAAATTAATCGTTTTACAAGTATGAGAGTTCTATGGATCTGTCATAACATTTTGAAGTGAAAAAAATGTTAAAATTTCAACTTATGATTGATAATTGGACCTAGATGGTACATAGGATGTTTGGGAGTGTGTTAAAGATAGATAATTCTTAGTATATAAATGATCAAAAAACACATGTTTATGTTTCCTTCAAATTACTTTTAAATATTAAATTATTCTACTCATAATAATTACAAATGATTTGATCAAAGTTCAATGTAAAAAAAAATATATTTAAGGAGTTATAATGAGGGTATTCAGTATATCCGACTTACATCATTGTGCTGGACCGAATATAATTGCTATGTTATAAGTATAAAAGTTTCGCACTTTACACAATTTATTACAAATCTAAAAAAAAATTAGATTCAGAGCGGATCGATCAATGTATTGATTTTAAAATCATCATTAATGGGGTTTTTTTTTTTGTGTCTTTCGTCACCTTTTAGGGAATATATATTTTTATTACTATGGCATTCAAAAATGAAACTTGCAGTGGTGGAAAAGTTTCAAAAGAACGGTTGACTTTGTGCTGTAATATGATATGTGAGTTTGAACGTCCTCTCGTCATAGGTAAGGAAAAACGACCGCCGAGCTTTTAAAAAATTATACGTAAATAAATTTCCCGTTGACTGGTGTTGGAATAAAAATGCCTGGATGACGACACAGATTATGGTAGACTGGCTCATGAAATTCGATAAAAAAATCATTAAAAGTCAAAGAAAAGTACCACTTTTTGTCGACAATGCAGCTCCTCATCCCCATCTTAAACTGCAAAATGTCGAGCTAGTATTTTTTTCCCCAAATATGACGTCTCACTGCCAACCTTTGGACCAGGGCATAATCCAAAAATTTAAAAAGCTCTATCGTAAGTAACTGTTACAAAAAAACAGTTGTTGATTTGGGTGCTGGAGAATCTAGCGCTATAAATGTTTTGTGCAATGTTGTGTATTGGGTAGCTTCTGCTCAAGCCCAAATAAAGTCTGAAACTGTAAAAAAAATGCTTCTTGCGATGTGGTTTCAGTCACCAAGGCGATGAACAATTAGGACAAACAATTGATACTGGAGAATAATCCGTAGTAGATGGAGAACTTTTAGCTCTCATCACACTGATCGACAGTAGTGTTGAAGTAGAGGCATATTTTGAATTAGACAAAATCATTTCCACTCACGACACCAATCTAACGGGCACCGATGATCCTGTTGAGCCCGGTGAGCCCGAAAATGAGGAAGAAGACGAGCCTGAAGAAGCAGAAACTTCAAAATATCAAATAACAAGTTTACAGGATGCTTTGTCTGCTGTAAAGAGCGTAAGTCATTTGTAAAAATATAAAAATTTAATAATTTTCAATAAATAATAAGTAATAACAATATATGTATGTACATTGTACATACATAGTATATTATTATACAAATAAATTTCAAAAATGTATCCCCTTTGAATAACGGCCACCTCCGAATAACAGACAACATTTTGGTGACCGAGAGTGTCCGCTATTCAGAGGTTTCACTGTATTTTATTATGTAAAAAACCAATGAGTTCTGTCGAAGTGTCACCAATTTCAGTACACGATTCTGCTCGTAGGACACCTGCTAAGTGTTTGTCTTATATAGAGGGTAAACCTTTAAAAAGGCCAAATCGTCAAAGACTGCTATAAGTATATTCTTTGACAGAAATTAATTCAATCTTTCCTCAAAATACAAGTATCTAACGATTAAATACATTTTTAATGATTCAGTGCAACTGTTTATATGACATTATAGTATGGATAGTATTTGAAGTAGTTACTATAATGTTTAAGGATACTTGTGGTAGCGAAATAATATTTTGCACAAAGTTATATTTACCATTCATTCCCAGATTAATGTTATGTTCTTCGACTATATAAATTATATTTATAAAATACATTATTAAATCTGCTTCTATGCACTACATTTTGTAATTATAATTATAATCACTGCAGTACTAAAAATTGGTTTATCATAATTTAAAATAAAAAAAGTTTTTGATTTTTTGAAGATATTTCACTTTATTAGTGATATTTAAGAATTTTTAAATTCTAATATTTTTCGTTTTCTAAAAATAAACAGAGGATATCTATCGTGATTGATATAAACACATCAACCAACTCATAAAGTTTCAATTGTATGATTGTATTCACTGCGGTGGATATTTGACTGTACCATGACTGAAATTTTCGATTATAGTTCGTAATTTCATAAGCCACTATTCAAGCAGTTTTAAAATTGATTCGTTACCAAAGTTTAAACAGAAAATAAAAATCTAGAATGGTGAAAATAAAACTTTGAAATCAGTAAGTGTCTGACAGGGTAGCAAGGATTTACTGTATCGCGAGTGCATTTTATAGCTCTCGATAGCACTTCAGTGCTGGACACACATATACGGGTAATATAATATTGTATTATGCAACTATTACCCACCTTATCGCATTATGAGCTACGTTAATAAGACGGGCAAACCGTCAATACTGTCTCTCATTAGGAAACTGATATCGAATAAAATTCCAAATAAAACAAATTTAGCACTAATCATCATACCTATAAATGCACCTAATACACAATCCACACTACCTAGCCATACAAATAATATTTCTATCACTACCACCTCTACCACCACCTCTCGTACATCTACTTCGATTTCATCTTCACCATCACCTTCAGCGACTTTTTCGACCAGTGATATCAACAACGCAGAAACACATATTAACCACACCGTACAAAACACTATAACCAATTACTCTCAAGCAACAGCTAATGACAACTCTCCCAGTATAGAACAGGCACTTGTTTTTAACTCAATAGAGCTATACCTCAAAGAGACTTTATTCTCGCCTTAGGTAAAATAGTATCACCCAAAAACATCGTATACGTCTAACACATTTCGAATAATCATTTTTGAATTTTTCTTTCGACCAAACAAATACTAGAATCACTTTTAGAATAAACTCAAACTATAACAGTTAACGATAATTTAATAGACTTATATATCCGTCAAAAAGGATAGTCATATCAAATGCCTGTCCATCCATCCCTAACTTTGTTTTACTTGACGCGCTTAAAAAAAATCAATATTACCCTCGTGTCAGAAATTGCCTACCTCAAAGCCGGCATCAACATTAAGGGATATGAGCACATCTTAAGCTTCCGCCGCCAATTATTTATCAAACACGAAGATGCACCAAATCTCCCTGGATCCTTACGCCTACTTCACAATCAGACAGAATTCTGAGTTTTCTTTGCCGATGACAGAATCACATGTTTTCTATGTAAATCCACCAGCCACACCTCTAACGCCTGCAAGAAAATAGAAGCCGTGGCTCCAACCTCTAAAAAATCTTCCCGACAAACTCCTATAGAAGAACCCTCTACGAAAAAACCTCGTGTGGAAAAACCAATTAATCGAATAATCGAATTTTTCGAATAAACAATATGATTAACCGTTGTTTTAACGGTTCGAATGAACTTCTATTTTTCGAACATAGGGAATTTTGTATTCTATACCATTTTGTGTGGGTCCGTGTTTACTTTACACCAAGATCTCAATTCATAGATAGATACCTACTAATAATATAGATTAAATATTTAAATTTGAAAATCTGTGCTAATATGATGTTTTGAGTTCAATGATTGGGAATGTATTAAGGATAATATAAAAGTGAACATCTACATCTAAATGACTTACTGCAAATCTTGTTTAAAATTGTGTAGAAGTTAAGGAATCAATTTGCCCTTAGTAAAAAAATCGATTCATCGGTTAATCAGTCATTAAAAAAATCGATTAATCAGTTACTCAGTCATTAAAAAAAATCGATTAATCGGTTAATCGGTCATTAAAAAAATCGATTAATCGGTTATTCAGTCATTAAAAAAATCGGTTTATCGATTAATCAGTCGTTATAAAATCGATTTTCGGTTTGATTTTTAATTTTCGATTAATCGAAATAATCGATAAAACGTAAAATTAATAATCGAGTGGTAAAAAAAATAATCGAACAGCCCTAGCCTACATCCATAAACTAGAATAACAAACCCGAGAACCATCACACATCATCTAATGAACCACAAAAAAGACGCATCATCTTTAGTAGCACCATTCTCACCACCCACGATAAACTCATCAACTCACGAGGCCGATAACAGAAGGAGTAGGAATGTCACAAAAAAATTTTAAGTAGATAGATCCAGATGTAACTCCTCATCCAAGACTGTCAACAAAATAACCTCTGGACTCAAACCAGCTGAGGACATCTTCTCTAATAATCCATCTATCTCTCTTAGCCAATTCATATAAGTATTGGAAAACAACACTAACAAAAACTTAAATAACCATAGTATCTGTAAAGAAATCAATTCGGATACCACATCCATAATGCTCTTAATTGATCAAATAAATCCTAAAGTTACTGAAACTATCATTCAAGTTCATCTCACCAAACTAGGCCATATTCTATACCAATCTTCAAATCTACAAGACAACTAACCCCTTCTTCAACCCTAAGGAGTTCAAAATTTATTTGTTAATAAAAATAACCAATATGATAGCTAACATTATGCAATGGAATATAAATGGGTTCTACAGTAAACTAGAAGAACTCCAACTAATAATCAAAAAAAGAAACCCTAAAATTATATGCATTCATGAAACAAATTTTAATACCAATAGTAACCAAGTTCTACAGAATTACAACGTCTTAAAAAAAACCGTAATTCCTGTATAAGATCCAGTGGGGGGAGTTGAAACTTTGATTGATCATAATTACCCCACCGAAGAAATCACACTTCTTACTGATCTTGAAGCCATCGCGCTTTCTATCACACTCCCCCATGTAACCTTAACAGTTTACAACATTTGTATACCTTACCAAAAAAAAATCGCACTCCAAGGCATAGAACATATTATGCAGCAACTCCCAAACACGTTCATAATAGTTGGTCATTTCAACAGTCATAGCGAAACTTGGGGTTCGTACATGACTGATTCTAGAGGCAAAACAATCGAAGAACTGCTTTCAAACGATAATCTCACAATATTACACAATGGACAACCCAAAATAATAAATAACTCTAATGGATACCCGTAAGCTATAGACCTCTCCATCAACAACTCTTCCCTATCCCATAAACTGGAATGGAACACTCTTCCCGAAATTTATAGCGATCATATTCCTTTAAAAATATCGATATAAATACCCTCCCTTTCAACAGATCAGATTTAAATTACCCTCCCATGTGGAAAATCAAAAAAGCTAACTGTTATCTATTTTCAGCGATAATGGAAGAAAATAAGTTAAATTGGTCCCTCCCCCCTTCCAGAATAAACATCAACACAGACGTAGCAAATTTTACCTCCCTCATTCAAGGTACCGCTAAAATCTCCATTGGTGTCTATCTTAACAAAACACATAGATCCAGAGTTCCCTGGTGGAATGACGATATAAAAAAATCAATCAGAGAAAAAAACAGAGCTCTTAAGACATTTCAAACTACTATTACCCTAAAAAGATGTAAAGCACGAACAAGATTCCTCGTAAAAAGCAGCAAGGCTTCAAGCTGGAAAAATTTCGTGTTTCAGCATACATAATCAAACAGATCAAGCCATTGCCTGGAAAAAAATTAAATCAATAAAAAGAACTAACAGAACCAATACCATAAATCTACTTATAGACTCAAAACTCTCTTATTTTCCCAAAGACGTAGCCTACTCTCTTGGACTTATTTTCCATAATAACTCCAGTTATGCTAATTATGACCACGATTTCTTTACATTCTCCCAACGTTACATCAATACCCTAATTAACAATACAATATGGTAGACCCACTAGACCTACATCAGACCCTCCTCAACTCCCCACTGAAGATAGAACAACTAGAAGATGCTCTTCATCACTGTAAAAGAAAAAGCCCCTGGCCCTGATGGGATACTTTACTCTTTCATCAAAAACTTAACAAAAAGCAGAATAAACCACCTCTTAGCCGTTTACAATACGATATGGGACACAATCATTTTTCCCAACTCCTGGAAACATGGATATGTCATCCCCATTCTCAAGCTCAATAAAAATAAATGTTTGACGGTAAGCTACCGACCTATTTATCTGCTCAATACTTTATACAAATTATTAGAAAAAATGGTCAATCTCGGGCTCATATGGTTTCTTGAAAACTCAAATCTCCTTTCAACACATCAACATTTATTCCGACGAAACAGAAGCACCATAAATAAAAAATGAAGTACACACCTCCTTACTTAACAAGCAAAGTCTAGGTATGATGAGATTTGATATGCTAAAGCATATGACACGGCGTGGAGACCCAGAACAATAGACAAACTCAAAAAAATCATTGCCAAAAGAAACATGCTTGATTTCATATGTAACTTCCTCAAGCACCGTTCCTTCCAAGTAAAAACTCCCAGCACACTCTCAGACACCTTCCTCCAAGAAAGCGGAGTCCCACAAGAATCTACCATTTCCGTAACGCTTTTCTGATCGTTATCGACGATATATCTGAAGAAATAAAATTCCCTAACATACCTCTGCTCTAAGTAGATGACTTTACTATTATGCCGCAGTACAAACATTAATTCTATTCAACAGACACTACAAGATTCCTAGTAACATACTAATGTCTTGGTCAAAAACATCTGGCTTCCGTTTTCCTCCAAAAAAACCCAGTCTTATAGTTTTCAACCAAAAGAGGATTAGGAATAAAATCCACATTAACATCGGAAACCACGTTATTGAAAAATAACCCAAATTTAAAATGTTGGGCTTAATTTTTGACCATATAGCTTCATGGATCCCTCATATCATAAATTTAAAGGACGTTACATCTTCAAGACTGAACATTATTAAAACTCTCGCTCACACCTCTTGGGGAGCAAAATCTCAACCTCTAATCAAAATACACAAAGCGTTTTTACTATCAAAACTTGATTACGGTGCCACAATATCTTCAACGTCCGAACCTACCCATTTAAAAATATTATAGCCAATTCACAATTCCGGAATCCGACTTGCAATTGGTGCATTCCGTTCCAGCCCCATCAAAAGTATATTAAATATAGCAGGAATCCCTTCTCTTGTAGTACGATGTGAAGAGCATACCTCTAAATTAGCAGCAAGAATCTCAAGATCCCCTTAAGACCATATTCACCATCTTAAATATATGCTCAAAGATGCATACACAAAATATGATCTTAAAAACATAATATCATTTGAAACTTCTTTTTGCCACCATGGAATTTCAGTATGAATATAATGTCAATCTTCATCGTTTCCCTAAAAACTCAACCTGTCCCCACATTTACAGAAACGCATTCAAAGAAAACTGTCCAATTTCTCACCCCCAAACTCACATATATACGGACGCCTCACTCATCGAAGGGCATTTTGTGATGGCCATCATATGTGAAGAAACCATAATTTAATGGAAACTATCAAACATTGCTCAATATACTCTGCAGAAGCTTTGGTAATTTTTAAAGTTATTGAGTACATAATTTCCAATGTAGATGATGATAAAATCACAATATTTAGCTACTAACTCTCTAAAATTACCAGCCTCAAAAATCAGTATATCCCTTCTGATATTTTCAGGACAATTCAAAACACCCAATACATAGCTCAACAATATGGAAAAAGTATAACATATTCTTGGATCCCTGGTCAATGCAACATACCTGGCAACGAGCAAGCAGATTCAGCCTCAAAACTCGCCTACTATTCCTCAGATGCAATCACCTTACCCATGTTTTCCTTTAATGACATAAAGAGAGTCATTGAAGATAATACATCACGTATGTATCAAATGGAATGGAATGAAACGTCCACCAAAC